AAAAGGATGTCGGCTCAATAATGATGCACCAGAAGGTTAAATGGAAATCAATTTTTATAGTCAACTCAAGTCATGCCAGTGCATGAAGCTGCCCTCAAGTAGATAAGTAATGTCTAGATTCTGGGTGAATTAATTAAAAAACTATTATTTACATTATTTCTAAGTCGATGATTTGGCAAAGCTGCCATTGAATGGGAAATCTATAAGATTTGGGTTTATCACACATTTTAACATATCTTAATTAAATATTTCCAAGTATTCCAAGATGAAACTTTTCATACAGAATTCAAAGCTGTCATTTAAACCACAGATGCAATCAATTCGCATAAAATTGATAGGAATTCCAGTGAGCTCTATCAAGGATAAGTGTACTAACAAAAAACCAAACAAATAAAATCATCAGCTGCCATTAAATAACCCAAAATTGGATTTTCATCCAGGACTGCTTAGAGAATCTAATTAATTCATACCTTAAAAATTTGACAGCTTGAGTGGAAATGGACCGACTGAGTATGCCTAAGTTTATTACCCTGATCCCACATTAACATGTTGTCGAAACTCGGCAAGAACAACATCTGGAAAAGATATTATCGCCTCACCTGAGAATCACTAAGTCGTCGATATTCGTCTAGCTGGAATGCTAATAATCTCCAAGCCATCCTACGAAAGCGTTTTCCAATCATACAGTAGAGCAGAAAGTTTATGCAGAAGTTGCACTGAAATATCGTCAGACATATTCCAGTTAAGTCACTGTAGGGTGGCACTCGAATGCGCCTTTCACAACCGGCCCCGATTCCATTTCTGATCACATTGTTCACGAAAAGTGGCATGCTGAGCAGACAGAATACGATGGAGACAAGCAGCAGCCTCCGCGTCACTCGAAGCTCCTGGGCATCCATGATACTCCTCTGGGAGTGGAGACCGACTGGACGCTCTCTCGTCGCCTTCATTTTAGTCCAGGTCTCCGACACTTGCCCGGAACTTTTGGACGTGTTATTGGCCTGCAGATGAGTTGGGTAGCAGATCGCCTGGTTGCCCTTCCAGCTGTCCAGACCACTCTGTAGGCTTTGCGAAACCCCGAGTCGCCGTGGCTTCTCAAAATCAACCTGCAGGCCTTGTGGCAAGTCGTCCCTGCGACTTAGGTCGTTTGGCCCATTGACCGGGTGGGCATCTTGGTCGCGAGGTTTGCCCTCTAGTTTGTTTGCGTATCCACTCTTCTCCATCCCAGCTTTGTCGCACTTCTCCTCTTTATCAGCCTCCAGTCCGACTCGATGGTTCAATCTGCCACGTTCTGTCGTCAGATGTCGACTCAACTGACGCAATCTGGCAGACATTTGAATATGCACTGAGCGCGATCGGAGCACAGAAATTATGCCAAAGTTGCAGATGAATACAATCAACAATGGCAGAAGCTGATGTACAAACACATCGAGGTAGTTGCTGAAAAAAAAGTGCTCATTTGCTGTACAAATGTAGTGCTGGGCATTATCATGATGGGATTTGGAAGTGATCGGGTGAGACTGAAAAGTCCAGAAGAGCGGTAGACTAAGCACGGATGAATAGATTAATGCGATGGAAATAAATATAAATACGTGATGGCGCTTGATTTTTTGTCGATAAAACGGAGAAGTTATCACTAGCAGGCGTTCCAATGTGAAGATGGACACAATAGAGACAGAGAAGAGGCTGATAGAAGGAAGATAAAAATAGGAATAAAGTTATAAAGAATGGAGCTCTTTACTCTTTTACTCAAGTTCCACGATTACTCGTGCCCAAAGGATTAGCATAGCATTTTTACCCTGCAAACAATATACATGAACTCTGGGTTTCTTATATTCTTAGTTAAAACAGATATATATTTTAACAGTTAAGTGTATATATTTCGCCTTATTTTATTAATAGAACGTGTTAGTTTTATTGTTTACCTACCGAGTAGTCCATAAATTTAGGGTGTAGATGATTTGGTACCTACACAAGCTAGATAGGCCCTGTTCCCGTGTGCAGAAGGGTTAAAGGTCATCTTTGTTATCCGAAGCGTAGAGCGCAAATTTATTAAACTAATTAGGGTAAGAAGGGTCTTAAAAGGTATATACCTTAAATTCGCAATATTTCGATTTTTCAATTTTACAATTAATCGTTCACCTCCCATGGTTTCAGTAATTTTTCCGCTAGTTCTTCACACAAGAAAGACTTTCCAATACAGTAGTGCAGATCGTTTTTTATCTCCATTCTACCATTCTCCCTTAATTAGATTTTGTTTTTCCATCGCACTACTTATATCATATAAAGATTGCCATCATTGCATCGATAGCCCTGTGCCTACTTTACTCAAAAAGCCCCAAAATTCGGTAAGCTGAAGACCAAGATGGTATGGTATTCGGTATGGTCGTAGTCTCCTGTCGATACATAGACGTGGGTTGAACTCGTTTTCACATTTTAGTCGTGTTTTCAAGGCGAGTTAGTTGGACGGACCTTAACCGAAATTCTCTCATGTAATGGCTAGCATAATTCCAGGCATAAGACCGTGGGCTTGGCATATTCTCAAACGTTCTGTCTGCATCGTTACGTAACGTTAGTGCTATCAGTTCTTTTCCTATCCTGGCCCAACTATCCAATCCTTACCCTCTTATCACACTCTAATCCTATCACAATTTTTGATTTATTTACATTCCACTCATTAAAAGGTGTGCCCAGTTTGGCAAGCTTCACGTGGTGTCCTCATACCTGCCGTGCCCCAGCTCCTCTCTCTTTCAATTAACTAATCCAATTCGGGTCTCCTATGCGGACCTCCCTCATGATCCATAGATCGGTCTCTCATTTGTTGTCCATTTCATTTGGTTCCAGGACCAGTATACGTTTTACTCGGGGCGCTATTTCTTAGGCCTTTAGAATCACATACACAGCAGCATCAACGAGCAGGCTGTGATAAATGCGCTTGAAAATATTAGGAATTATATGAGGCATATTCACCCTCTTTCGTATAAGGTGACGAAAGGCTGTTAGTAGAATTTTCCCACAATGATATGAGTGGAGCTGACGCTTCAATTGAATTTACCAGAGCCTTACTTTCCCAAAAGTTGTTCTCATCCAGGGTGAACTGCAATTCGACTTAGCCTAGGTCTTATCAAAACCCCCTGCGGGAGTCGAACCGTGACAGTGCAGAATGGGAGCTTGACAAGTAAACGACTCGGCCACATTGTCACGAGTGTCCTTAATTCACGCGGCAGATGTCAATTACAAGGAATGCGAGGCCTTTTCCCATATCACATTCATTCGTAGAATTGTCGGTGAAGTAAACGTATTTTAATCGAAGGTATGAAGACCAAGATGGTGTGGCCTTTTGTGTGGTCGCAGTCTTCTTTCGTTGTATAGAGGTTGTTTGACTTTGTTTTCGCAACATGGTAATATTGGTAGGAAGACTTAGAGAAACTCACCTATTCCGGAGTCCATAGTCTGCATGATCATTTCCAAAGTTC